CTTGTGCTAGTTCACGTGTTGCACGGGCCTAGCACGGGCTGTGTGGTAACACGGCCATATGCCCAGCTGGCTTTACAGGCCCAAAGAAATGCGGCCACCTAGCATCACAGTTCAGCAGAGTCCCAAGGGAATTTCTTCAGAGCCTGCTCTTAAGTCCTTATTGATTTTATGATGGGCCAGTTTCTCTCTCGCTCATGATGAAGAATGCACACAACAACAACTGAGCACAGCAGTGCTGCCGCCTGCCATAAGGGTGTATGTAGCCCGGGGCTGCAGAGACGGAGTACCCACTCAGTCCCACTTCCTCGTGGAATGAGGAGTAACGGTAGTTCGGACTAGGAAGCCTAGTCCGAACTACTTAGTTCGTGCCGCGTGTAGCCGCGCGGCACGGGGTTCGAACGAGCAGGGATTTAAAAATGGCGGCGCCCAGTTTATGCAAATGAAGCCCGGGAAATTCAAATCCCGGGCTTCATTTGCAAGTGTGGTATGCCTACATTACCCTCCTAGTTCGAACTAGTGGGGTAGTGTAGACATACCCACCTAGAGTAAGAGAAGAGAGTAAAACAGACCAGGCACCCTCCTGCCGCGCAGCATTCTCATCACCCACATGCCCCGAGTAAGTCGTGTCTGGATGGCTAAGTCAATGCCTGGCTGTTTTTTTCATTATAGCACCTGGGTAAATGTGGGTGAGTCTATATTGCTCCTTACCTGATTTAATTCTGCATGACTGCTTCAACCTAACAGCTCCCTGGCCCATGCCGCTATGTCATTGGCACTGAGCTCCGGTTGAACTGCTTGCCTTGCGGCACACCTGAGGAGCACACCAACACACGAGGGGCCCATGCCCTCTGGCGGGGTTTATTCCTCACACAGGTATGCACAGCGCCGGAGGATATCACTCCGTTTGTTACCCAAGGAGTCATCCTGCTGTGGTATCAAAGCCCTGGCCACAAACACTAGGGCCAGGCTGCTAATCACCCAGGATGGCTTGACATTGCTCTAGCCAGGTTATATAACCCTCTTACGTAAGCCCGCTGTTGTGCTGCTGCAGTGGGAGGAGAACTTACAGCTCTCTCATTCAGGTTTGGTTTCACGCCCTGGGCAGTCCAGGGAAATATACCACACGGGTCTGTCCAGTGTGCATAGCAAAGGCAGCTCCTCCCACTAGCCTCGGCAGCGGAAGGAATTCAAGAGTGGAAAGTCCTTCACTTCCCCTGGGGCATGGATAAGCAGCCCTCTGCTCAGACACAAGCTCTTCGGGTCAGTGGTTGATACTTTGGCAACCCCTGGTCCTTTCGGGCTTGGGGAGAGAGCAGAGGAGGTGGGTACAGGCAAAACAATCTTCCCTAGGCCATGCCTTGCTCAGCGAAAGGGCATAAAGGAACAAGACGGAGCAGGCTCCTTCCCCGGCAGCGGTTTGCAGGATGCTGCAGCAGGATCCTACAGGACTGGATGGAGTTTTCGAGTTTAACCCTCTCCTCCTAACCTGTCTATCTCTCCCTTTCTTCCCCCCCGATGCATGCCCTAGCTGCTCACTTCCCATGCAAGATGCCATCCTAATCACTGTGCTGAGGTGGTCAGAGCAGAGCGCCCATCCATGCATCTCTCCTGCTGCGGCTCTCTGCAGGCTGGTCATTTAGCCTCTTGCCCCACCATGGAATGCATCATTATTATTTTTAACCCCTTGAGTACCGAGGGGGAGGCTGCCCTTACATTTGTGGTCCATTACGGGCTGCTCGGCTGCTACTGTCCCCCGTTACCCTCTCCCAGCCATCTGTCTTGTGGCTGCCAACAAGAATGAAATAAAAAGCTTTTCTTTTAAACTGAGCAGTAGGGACACATTGGAACCATGTTGAAATCTCCCAGCAGCTGGAGCGGTTCTGAATTTTGCAGCTTACGTCTCTGTTGGGGACAAGCCTCTGAGGTGGCTCAGCTCTCAGTCTGTTTTCACCGAAGGGGCAAAAAGCCTTCAAAGCAGGGTCAAAATACTCCACACTCCTAGTCACCTCTTCCACCTTTCCAGGGGTCAAAACCTCCAGCATCCTTCCCTGAGCCACTTTGGAGACCGTCATGGGCCTCCACCATAGAACTAGGTAGCACATTGAAAAGGGAAAGGTGGCAAACAGCCTGAACTAGCTTGTCTGCCAAACTCAATAGCACGAGAGGCACCGTGCAGAGGATATCAGTCACTCCCATGTTTCATAGAATCATAGAGCTGGAAGGGACCTCAGGAGGTCATCAAGTCCAGCCCTCTGCCCAAGGCAGGACCAATCCCAACTAAATCAACCCAGCCAGGGCTTTGTCAAGCCGAGACTTAAACATCACCACCCTCCTAGGGAAATAGTTTTTCCCAATATCCAACCTAGACCTCTCCCACTGTAACTTGAGATGATTGCTCCTTGTTCTGCGATCCGTCACTGCTGAGAACAGCCTTTCTCCATCCTCTTTGGAACCTCCCTTCAGGAAGTTGAATGCTGCTATCAAATCCCCCCTCACTCGTCTCTTCTGCAGACTAAACAAACCCAGATCCCTCAGCCTCTCCTTGTAGGTCATGCACTCCAGCCCCCTTATCATTTTGGTTGCCCTCCACTGGACCCTCTCCTTCTCTGGATCTGCTGGCAATGCGCCTCCTAATGCACCCTAATATGCCATTAGCCCTCTTGGCTACAAGGGCACACTGTTGACTCATATCCAGCTTCTCATCCACTGTTAATCCCAGGTCCTTTTCTGCTGAACTACTACTTAGCCATTCAGTCCCCAGCCTGTAACAATGCTTGGGATTCTTCCGTCCCAAGTGCAGGACTCTATACTTGTCCTTGCTGAACCTCATCAGATTTCTTGTGGCCCAATCCTCTAATCTGTCCAGGTCACTCTGGTAGATCCCTGCCCTCCAGCGTATCTACCCCTTCCCTCTAGCGTAGTGTCATCTGCAGACTTGCTGAGGGTGCGATCCATCCCTTCGTCCAGGTCATTAATAAAGATGTTGAACTCAGCACGTTACCTTAGACAACAATTTAATGCGTAAAAATCCAGCTGCCGTGGAATTCCCCATCTGCAGCGAAAGCCGGGGGGTCTGGCTGCAGCATTTTGGCCCATTGTAGATTCCAATTGGATGCCACCTTACCAGAAACAGAGGCAGGAGCCCCCCAATGGGAGGACAGATGCATCATGGGCAGAGCTCCAGGACCACTCAAGCAAAACACTAAGGTCACTTCCTGGATGGAGAGGGGTCCACGTCCCTCTCATTTCCCATTGCTTTCCTCACCATTTGGCTTGCCCACTACCAGATTAAGGGCAGACCAATGGGTCTTGTTGAGATTACAACCCCCCACCCCACTCTTGTGCATTGCAAATCAAACACCATGGTAGCAAGTCAGACATCTCTGAGACTTAGCCACCCCCAGGCTCTGGGCACAACCGTGGGAATCTACATCCTATGATGCTGCCTATTGTGGCCACATGATGTAAGGCCCGAGCAGTATCAGGAAGAGGAGGTACGTGCAGCAAGACAAAATTACATCAGAGCCCGGATTCCGTCTGAGCAAGTCATTGTCTCTTTATCCTTCTTCCCGTGCTGATTTCCAAGTCTCTTCTGGGGTAGATGGGGGGAAAGTCCCTAAAGGAACAATATCCCTTGGTCTTGCCTAATTTTTTCTTCCTCTTTCCTCCATTCCCTTGCTATTCCTCACTAGCTCCCTCCCCTCATCCTGCACTTCTAGCAAATCCTTCCCCGCTCCCAGTTTTGCTCTCTCATTCCTCCCTCCCCCCACAGTCCCAGTTCTCACACTCCCTATGCCTCTAGGTTCGGGTAACAAATGTAGGTACTTCCCATCCACCGGGAGTCTGGGGGTTCCTTATTCCCCTGGCTTTGCTGCTCCATTCGGCTGCCTGAAGTGCAACAAAGCAGGAGGGGATGGAAGTTCGGGGGGTAGGGGAGAACCCACCTGAGAAAGGCTTTAGATCTTCCAGATCTCAGTGTACAAAGTGCCGCACTGGGGCACGGGGCCGGCAGGTCTTTGGGCTCTAGCTTCTTGGCAGGCAAAGGCAGCTTGAGTTATTCCCCTGGCTTTGCTGCTCCATTCGGCTGCCTGAAGTGCAACAAAGCAGGAGGGGATGGAAGTTCGGGGGGTAGGGGAGAACCCACCTGAGAAAGGCTTTAGATCTTCCAGATCTCAGTGTACAAAGTGCCGCACTGGGGCACGGGGCCGGCAGGTCTTTGGGCTCTAGCTTCTTGGCAGGCAAAGGCAGCTTGAGGTAAGAAACAACAGCAGCAGGGCTGGAGAGCACTTTCTCCCTTTATGATTATGGCACATACATGCAAAACACGTTAGCAGAGGGGACGCCTTTTTGCTCACCAGCCTACAGGCAAAACAAGCCAGTTTTGTCAATGTGTTCATAGATGGTGGCCAACTGCCAGATGACGCAAACCACACAGAAACCTATGATTTCGTGAACGAGAGCCTGAGATTCACAAAGGCTCACTGAATCCCTGCAATCCAGGCTCCCAAATCTGTTATACTGAGCACGCGGTTGCCTTAACACGTGTGTGCCCAGTGAACAAACATGAATGAATACCGGGCCAAATTCTATTCTCAGCAATCCCGAGCTGTAGTGTTTTTATAGCACTTCTGAAAAATCCCAAGAGCCAAATTCTGCCCTCAGTTACACCATGCAGGTCCACTGGGGCTAATGGAGCATACACAAGAGCAGAAGCAAGTTCCCCGTTCTTTGCAAAATACTGTAAAAAATAGCAAATTGTGCAGTACCCCAGAAGGTAAAACCTATTCTCCATTTTGCAGATGGGGAAATCAAGGTACTGGGAGGTTAGGGGACTTGCCCAAGGTCACAGAGTGAGTCAGTGGCAGAGCGATGGATTAGTGCTCCTGCAACAGGCATTATTCACACACTAGGGGGTGGAGCCAGGCATCAGAGGGAGGCAGGGATCTTAGTAAAGAGCAAGGGTGATAAAGCTGCATCTGTCAAAGCTAACTCTCTTCTGGGTCCCTTTGCTCTACCTGCCTGGTGCTTCACCACAACTCCTCAAGCAGGTTTCTGGAGCTTCTGGTCGTCAGGGCATGAAGGCTGACACCCATTCCTCCTCCTTATTCCCTGGCTGTATCTGAACCACTGGCCACCGCAGTTCTTCACAGTCGTAGCCACTGCGCCACAGCACACCTGGGAAGCCAGTGATGGAGCAAGGTCAGTGAATAGGAGGTTTCTCCTACTTACTCTCTTTATTGTTGTTGTTGTCCTTTCTTAACGCAGTCGGGGAGGTTGCAGACTCACTGACAGGTGCAGTCACTAGGTCTGTCATGCAACAGGACATGCTAAAATGATCTGCTATGCTTCTTGTTTACACCAGTGCTGGGGTAATTGCACAGCCTGCACTGGAGTTCCTCCTGACTTACACCAGAATGAGGTGAGAATCAGGGTCTCCGGCACTGATTTGCCATTGCCCTACACCACCTGTAGCTGTTTACAGGTGCACTGTGCGTTTAAAGCTCTGCCAGGGATGTGAGGATTCTGACTTACGAGTGTTTCGCAACCATTTTGCTCAGGTGTTAACAACTCCACAAGGTGCATGTCAAAGGGGACGCAGGGCCCCACTGTCATTCTATTATTGATCTTTCCAGGAGTTTGCAAAGTTTGTCAGTTTCATCCAGAGACTCCCCACATGGGGGCGCTCTGCTCAAGAACATGGCCACCTGGCCTGCCATTATCTATCTGACATGCTGTGTGGAGAAAGGAGCAGTAACCGGGAAAGGTTAATATAAAAAAGTTAAGTTGCCATATTTGATCAGGATAAACAAAAACTCATTGAGCCAGAATCTGATCTCAGTCATGCAAGAGGAAATTCAGAGAAACTCATTCCAGGGTGGGGGCATTGTTCCCTTTTCCACTGGCTGAAATTCCTGCTCCTCCCACGAAGGGCTGAGTCCGCTGGATTTACCGTAGTGGCTGACATCATCCTCTGGCTCAGTGGCAGGCCTGGGGTTTGTATGGCTCAGTGTTGGGGGGCCTCCAGGTTGTTTGGCTCAGGGTTTTATCTAGGAGCTTTCCCCTCAGCACCGAGGAGCACTGGCTGTTCCTCTAGGTCAGAGGTTCTCAAACTGTAGGTCAGGAGCACCCCAAAGTGGGTCACAACTCCATTTTAATGGGGTCACCAGGGCTGGCCTCAGACTTGCTGGGGCCCTAGGACAAAGCCTGAACCCCACCTCCTGAGGCAAAGCCCCACTGCCAGGGGTTGAAGCCCAGGGGCTTCAACTGTGCCCCACCCCGCCCAGAGTGATGAGACTCAGGCTCTCCCCGCACACCCGCAGCATGTAGGCAGGCTCGGGCTTTGATCCAACTTCCTGGGGTCGTGCTGTGATTTTGGTTGTCAGAAGAGGGGAGAGGGGTCGAAATGCAGTGAAGTTGAAAAACCCTGCTCTAGCATAAGCAGTGACTGAAGGGAGACCCAGCCACCTGCCAGAACTTAATGAGTGTGAACACCAGAGGCAGAGGGGAGCCACTGAGGGTGGCAGCATACGTAAGAGTGGAAGGGAATTAACAGAGAAGTTGAGGCCGACTGTCAGGAAGCGAGGTGGATCAAGCTGGGAAATGGTATCCAAGGAGAAGAGGGGAAAGCTCCAGGCATTAAAAAGGTGGACTGGACAGAGCACTTGACAAGTCCTGTACTGAAAGGCAGAGGTTTTGTCACACACAGATCACAGCTTCGCTCCGTGGCACTCATTAAAGTCAGGCTCCGCTACGCGCAAAAACAATAAGGTCAATGGACTAGAACCAAAGCAATGTGGTACATGCCCAGATTAGCAGTGGGCGGCTCTCTGAAGGCCTGGAGGCTGCGCGCTCCGACGCAAAAACAATAAGGTCAATGGACTAGAACCAAAGCAATGTGGTACATGCCCAGATTAGCAGTGGGCGGCTCTCTGAAGGCCTGGAGGCTGCGCGCTCCGGTTGGGCGAGCGCTCTTGTTATTCAAATGCCAGCACCCGTGGGCACTCTGGCAGAGGCCAGGGACAGATCTCCATCTGTGGTCACATTGTCAGCGATCTGCTGCAGTCTGTGGAGCTGTGACAGTTCACATGGACCCCAAGGATCCTATGGTCTGAGGCAACATCCTGCAGCATGCTCCCTGCGCCCATGTGGAGCCCCCATATTTGAATGGGGGGTCTGTCTGGGTTTGGGGTGCATCCGCCTGGAACTCTTTGCAGGATCAGGGCTTAAGAAACAAAACCAGGGACGACAGGATACAGGGGAAGGCCAGGATCCTTATCCCAGTTAGCAGATGCTTTTGAGCACCCTGCAAAGCCCTCCTCTCGCATCCTCAGCCCATCCCTCCCTCTCTCTAGCTGGTAGAAGGTTTGCTTGGTATCAGGCTGCTAGAGCTACTCCTCCACACAAGAGCCAAGGATCTTTAGTGGGCAAATCCCCAGATCTCTCCAGGAACTGGCTGGCTCCCTTATCTCCCTGCAAAGGTGATCAACTGCCACTCGCAGCGAGACATGCAGAGAGAGTGTTGCCTGGCTCCTCACAATGCAGGAGTTCAGGTTCCAGGCCTGGAATGGAAAACATCATCACTGGGACGTGTAGGGCAAAGGATGGGCCCAGCCGCAGCTGAGATACAAGGGAAGGAAGGTCTCATGAATGAACTGGAGGGGCCGAGGGTTCTTTCCTAACTCCCAGTCTGTCTGTTTGGTCAAAGAGGCTCCCACATTGCAGCCAACGTGAAGCAAATCCTTCTGGATGCCGTGGCAGGTGATTAACCTGTGGTACTCACTGCTGCAGGGCGATTAGCCAGGGTTTTGTAGGAAGGCGGAAGCAGGGAAATGAATAAGAGTAGCATGTGCAATGGCATTACAATGGCTATTAATCCCACCTGCTGCAGGGCAAGAGCCCCTGGTTCCCAGCCATTTTCTATGCATGGCTATTTGCTTTTCGCTCCTTCCTTCTCTGTGCTATATCCTTCGCACCAGGGGCATTGTCTTCACATAGGTCACTGTTCCAAGCACAAACAATAACAGCTTGAAGACAATGTAGGGCAGGGTGATTAGGTCAGGAATCATGGCTCACCCTGCCTAGGGCCGGCCCATTCTCACCACACCCTGCCTCTGTTTGTGATAAACTAAGGCTGGAGTGAGACTCAGGTATTCTCTGTGCAGGGTCAGGTTAGCTTTAGAGCCTCAGACTCCTCTTCTCTGCTGGCCGCCTGTGTGAGCAGCTCCCTGTGCAACGTGAGCATTCATCCACAAGGAGCTTAGTCCACACACACTACCCGAGCTATCCGGATATTGTACTTGTGTGAGCCCGCCCCTGCAGTACCCAAACACATCACGTGCATCAGAGAATGGTTACAAGAAGGGAAACTGAGGCACTGAGCGATTAAATGACTCATGCAAGGTCACACTGGGAGACAAGAAACAAGAATTGACTCCAGCTGTCCCAAGTCTCAGTCCAATGTCTTCACTACATGACTGTCAAACAGCTGTTAGACTGTAACAACTACCGTTCCACAGGGGGACACAGAAGCAGACAGTATGGGTGCGTCTAGACTGGCAAGTTTTTGCACAAAAGCGGCTGCTTATGCGCAAAAACTTGCCAGCTGTCTACACTGGCTGCTTGAATTTGCGCAAGAGTACTGACTTTGTATTGTACAAAATCAGTGCTTCTTGCGCAAATGTTTTCATGCTCCCACTCAGGAAAAAGCCCTCTTGTGCAAGAATACTTGCGCAAGAGGGCCAGTGTAGACAGGGAAGAACTGTTTTGCGCAAAAAAGCCCCGATGGCTAAAATGGCAATCGGGGCTTTCTTGCACAAAATTGCGTCTAGACTGGCCATGGATGCTTTTGTGCAAAAGCAAATCTTTTGCGCAAAGGCACTTGCCAGGCTAGACGTGCTTTTGCGGAAATACTTTTAATGGAAAAATTTTTCCGTTAAAAGTATTTCCGCAAAATCATGCCAGTCTAGACGCAGCCTATTTGTGCACATAGATTCGGATGCCTCAATATTATCAGCCACTAGGGCCCTGTTATTACCTCTACGATGGGTGTTGCTAATTGGCCTGATTTAGATCGCTTGTCAGTGAAAGACAGGATGTGTCTCTTACAGACCTGCCGTAGCAAGACACGCTTCCTGCACCACAAATTATCCTCAATTCTTTGTGCCTCTCCGCAGATATATTAACCACCCTAAAACACAGCCAGCGTTGGCTTAATCCCCCATGCCATCTGCTCTAGCAGCTCCCCTTCACGCAGTGCTGCTCCTGCCTTTGCCCACCCTGTTTTGGGGTCCTCACTCAAATGCCAGCCTTGCCCAGCCGGTAATTGTAAGCTAACTAGATCAATGACTCAGTGCCCAAGCGGTTACATTACTAGGAAGCTCTGCACACACCTGCTGAAGTTGCACCACACAGGAAGATCCATGCGCTGGAATCTTTTTTTAATTCCATTTCCAAGTGATATCGTACATGATGCGTTTGGTGACGAACGTAGCCAGGGGATTAGTAGCCACAGCACGTTGGGCTGCTGGCGCCACCCAGCAGGCCTTGAACCCTTGGCATTAGTGCTCAGCCAGGGCACTATGAGACACATGCTGCACCCAACTGTGCAGATGCATAAGCCTCACTAAGCAGCATCGGTGGGGGGGGATGGAGGGAGGGATTGGAGAATGGGAGTGCAAGGGACTCCCAGCCCCCATGCAGCATGTGGAGCGGTACTGGGGACAGGGATGCAGAAGAGACACAGCCAAGTAGGGCATCATCTCTACAGATTCAGTGACCAAATTCTCGTATGGGGATGGGGCTCAGCAGCATGCACCATGGGGGTGGAGGGGGCGACACTGAAGATCCACCCTTAGCTTTGGTGGTGGAAATCAGGGCCCTGCTCCAGCAAAGCACTTAAGCACATACTTAACTTGAAGTCCTGAAGCTCCACCCTTAGCTTTGGTGGTAGAAATCAGGGCCCTGCTCCAGCAAAGCACTTAAGCACATACTTAACTTGAAGTCCACATGCCCCATTGAAGTCAATGGGACTATTCACCTGCCTACGTGCCTGGCAGGACTGGAACACAGGTGTAAGGGACCAGGATTTGGCTCAAATGTCATTAAGTCAAATATGTGAACCAGTGTCAACAGTTTAAAAACTGCCTCCTCCACCCACCCTCCCCCGCTTTATTAGA